CTCCTTTGTAAGGAAGGACAAACTGCATATTTGAAAATTACTCTGCAGAAGGATTCAACCTTTATCCGCTGTAGGACCTGCTGGTATTTACTTGCCATGAAGCAGTATTTTCTCCGTTTTTAAGTTTGTTGAGGTTTTTGTTCCTCTATCAACTGCTCAGCAAGAGGCCAAAATGAACAATAAACATTTAAAGAGGTCCTAATTCTAGGAGAGCTGCTGGTTTTCTAAGGTTAGAGTTGCTTGCTTAAGCACCATACCACAATGCAGTCTGGTCCCAAATTCGGCAATGAGCTTAGTACATCTAAAATCTCCTAGTGATTTTCAGTGTTGTCTCCCAATTTTTTACATTGCAGAATCTGCTTTTGTTAAAGAAAAGTGTCTTGGACGTTGGTACAGTGAGAGAGAAATTAATGGATGTGGTATCACTGAATATATAGTCACCTCCTAGGTACCACATAGCCAGACAGTCTCACCAGGCATTTCTGGGGTGGGAGAAGGGAAAAATAAATGAACAAGCAAAATTTAGTTTTACAAAATGAAGCAGCTGTCATAAAGGAAATGAATGGGTTATGTACAATTGGCCTTTTAGTAATGTATAATTACTGTAAGGCTCCTAATTAGTTGCTGTTTTACAATACATCTTTTAATACCAATTTGTAAGTGTCTGAGAAGGAAGGTTTACATTTTGTTTCCGTTTTGTAACCTCAGGACAGAATCAAGAAACCGTGAGCATATGCCCTTATTTGGGAAAAAAGTCTCCCTCTGCAATTTATTAACATTTATTTGCATTGAACATACAATCTGTGGTGCTATATAACCACATAATGACAGGGATCACCATCATGGGATTTGTCTTCTGCGCTTGGCAGGTTCTTGTTATTCTGTCTATGTCCAATTGTAGTCACTACTGGAGACATGAAAGGTTCACTGTGTCTCATATTCTCCGACCCACCCAGGATGGTTGCTCTTTAGAGGCTTGTAATTAGAGGATTTGGCTTTGCATGTGTAGATACCCTGACATCACACACCGAATGCAGCTACACCCATGTATCTCAGGATAGAAAGATGGATGCTTTGTTCTTGGCTCCTTTCTGACATGTCCTTCTTCCCTCATTTGATCTTAGGCTACAAACAAGCAAGTTATGCCTTGTGAATGCTTTCTCTTCATGTTGTTTGAGTTACTTGTGTCTTTCTCCTGGGGCACCTGTGTGCTTGTGTTGCCTATTCATTAAGCCCAAGCAACCACAGCATTGGTTTGTTGCCATGCTGTGCATGATGTTGAGGTATGTTTGGTCTCCAAGCCCCACATTTTTATTTTGCATGAGGCTCACAGTTGAGCTGCATTTGGAAGAATGATCAGGCAGGGTGAGAGAAGAAAACCACAGCAGAGGAAATGTAGCTTGGGAAGCAAGGAGAGGGTCTTCAGTGAAGAAGTCATGCAGCATCTTTTAATAGATATTGGGTTCTCCATAGATAGGTATAATCTCATGTGACTTTGGGCACCAAAATGAGGGTAATTGTTGCCCTAGTTTCTTCTGCTTTCAGTGGGGGGAGAAACTAGAGTATCTGGGCTCTCTTCTTGGCTGGATGTTGAATACTTGAAATAAGGTGGAGTGAAACTAGGTCAGAACTTTACTGTCTTCCTCTGGAAGTCCCCACCTTTATCAGAATCACCAGGGATCTCAGGCGATAGGATCTCAAAACTATCAAGCCATCAGCTCCTAAGCACACTTATCTCATGCCTTCTGCATTTTAAAGGTCTTCTGTCAGGGTAACTCTCCTACAGCTGGTCATTGAGAGGCAATCCTGTGAGTTTGGTACAGCTTTTTCTTTTATGTTGGAGCTTCATCAGTCCACAAAGTCGTTGGACCAGGTGCCAAACCCACCTAAACAACGAGGGTTCAGCTTAGAGACACAGGCTTATCCTTTTCATGCATGCCTGCCTTCCCACAGTTCCCACTCCCCTGCCCAACTTTTCGCCTTTGGCGTCTCTGTCTCACAAGACACTGTTGCTTTAACAGCTGTTTTGTTTCATTTAAACACCTACCTCAGCTCCTGTCCAGAATGCAAACATTTCATTAGCACCTCATCTCCTTGGCTTCAGCTCGCAGCACTCGGCCATAATGAAGTGCTGCACTCAGAAATATAATGTGGGGAACACTTGATTAATGCACTGAGACAGGTGACGGGAGTGACCCTCTGGGAAAAGCTCAGGACTAAATTAATCTCGGATGTAATGCCAACAAAGACAGTCTACCAGCTTTGCTCAGATACATGCTAAGGTCCTGATCCACAGTCCTTAGACATCTTTCTGGAGCTTTTGTGTTTGGTCCCAGACCCAAAGTGATGTGAAGTGGCTGGTCTCAGGTTAGCCCAAGAGGATGGATCCATTGGGTGGGAAGTGCACATTGTGCAGGAAGTGGCACATTAGGCTTAATGGGTGTTCTCTCTCAAACTTTGCATGCACACATGCATACACATTTAAAACAAAATAAAAAATGCATTGGTTAGAATAATTTTTTCTGATGAAAAATCTTTGTAGCAGATGTTTCACTGTAACACAAATATTTCAGCATCTGTTTCATGTTTTGATGAATAGGCATTACCTTTCCATCCAGAGCCAAGAGCTGGATCTGCTGCAAAGGCTCTTTCCTCTCTTCAGATATTGATAAAAGTATCTAGGATGTCGTTTTAGCAGAGATTAAAGACACCTTTAGTAGCCAAGCTACATGGAAGTAAGGCAAATTGCAGTCTGTGATAACATTGAAAGGGGAGAAAATCCCTCATTTTCTGCTTTCCATACATAAAAGGTCTTAAACAAAAATACCATATTGTATAGAACCTGCATCACAAAATAGCCAAGCTTTTTGGTCACTGGAAAAGAAGGCTACCTTCTTTTTGCCTGTGACAAGATAAGCTACCAAAGTATACTACAGAACTTTCTTAAGAGCTACAGAGATCAGGCTTCCAGATTTTAAAACACTGAAAAAACCCACAGTTAAATGCTATGGATTTTTACTATTTCTTCTTGGCTATTAATGTCAACCAGCTTATTGTGTATACACAGTAAATGTGTTAAGATGATTTTTAGAGTATTTAGGAAAATCAGTTTAATAATCAGTTTAAAAAATTGATTTATGATTATTAAATTCCACTTAAGAACAAAGGAATAAGGGATTCCAGTCCTGGATTGTAAAGGCTTGACAGCAGTAGCACTAGAAGACAAGGTTTTCAGCCATTTCAGTGGCTGAAGCATGGGTTACTGCATATTTTTGGAAACCAGTCTTTGAGGCTCAGGAAGAACTTTTTCTATTAATCAAGGGACAAGGGCAGTAGATGCCAAGGAAAGGAAATATCTGTGTAAGGTGCAGGAGAGGTTTGGCATAAGAACAAATGAGTTAGTTGATCATGAATAAATAAATGTAGCTTGGCGAGTAGGAGCTTTGTGCTGTCAGAGGAGCACAGTATGGTGCAGTTTCCCAGTAGGAAACGTGATGGCATGAGAAACCTTCCAAACTCAAGCACCAGCAGTGGCAGTTCTAGCTGTCTCTGCTTCTCCTTGAACCTTGCTGCAATTGAAATGTTATTTTAAGGTCATCTGGATGTAGCAATAAAATCAGATTCTAGTTTGATGTGATCGTATTCTCCCATTGCTCGTTTTTATCTGACTATGACTGGTGGCTGAGCCAGGACACTATGCATTCCCCGTGCCACATGTTGCTGTTGTAACACTCCTTCTGAGGGCTCTGCTGGAGAATGTGCTATGCTGTAACTTCTTTTCACTGGTGGGTTTAGAAACAGTATCAGGAGTAAATACCGAAGTATTTCCATGCAAGTGAGCCCCTAGGGTACACTTTAGGCTTGCAAAATGTTGAAATCCCATGGGACTGTAATGGGCTTGCAGAACAGAAGTGTAGGTTTGATGCCTACATGTTCAGAATACAGAAAAAGAACAGCAGCTTCCTCTCAGAAGGAAGGTTGATTTCTACAGTCAGCATTAGCTGGCAGTGGAGCTGTTTCTTTGTGGGGCAGGCCTGCCTGGTGGGTAGACACTAACCAGCTGAAGAGAAAGCATGATCAAAGTGACTTTTTTTTCCTTTTCCTCTGCACAGTCAGTTCTACCAACTGGTACAGCTGGTCTCATTAAAAAATGTTAGATGGAAAGTAGTTGAGTCAGCTCTGGTTAGTAACAAAGCGGGGGTTTTAGGTTGAGAAAAACCTTCAGGTTGGGTAGGCTCTACTGCTGTAATTTTGCAGTTATGAGACCAGTACTGTTTCATGTGATCCTGGGTGTGCATCCAGATTAACCTGTGGGAAGTTATCTATGGGAGAACTCTTTGTGTGTGGCAGCCCTGGGGCAGAAGGTGCACTGTAGGAGGGACTGAAGCTCTTACCCAGGGCTGACTCCCTTCTGAATTGAGTGATTTGAAATGTAGTGTCTTATCTAAATCTCTGTGGGCACCTGCTGCTTCTCTGGATGAAGTGGCATAACTAAACTATCTCTGTGTCTTCATGATTGCCTGCCAGAGGTTATGTGGTGGGAAACATTCTAAGGAGTGTAGCCTGTGCAGATACTAAATACCTTCCTTGAGTGCCCCAGACCTACTCTTGAATTCTGGTGCTGCAGGTAACAGTAACCTGCTTCACGATGGGTTTTGAAATCTGTTTTCCTGCATGTTTCCTTAATCCTCATCTTTCTCCTGCCCCACCCCACCCTAATTCCTTCTTTTTCTAAGCCCAGAGCTGCTGATTACGGAAGCAGAAAAGCACTATTCCAGCGTGCATTTAGAATAAAGTCAATATTTCCGCACTGTCCCATCTGATGGGATAAATGTTGCCAAGCTCCACTGCAGGCTGCCCCAGTGGGTGGGGGAAAGGAGATGCTGTCGTCACCCTATAAATTGATGTGTGTGGAGGATGGGACTGAGCATATGTCAGAAGTCTCAATGGTGCTTTAGGTTTGCTAGAACCTTTTCTCACTCCATTCCTCTCCCCTGCAGGCCATGGTGGAGACGGTGAACAACCTCCTGCAACCACAGGCTCTGAATGCGTGGAGGGACCTGAATGCAAGCGAACAGCAGCGCGCAGCCACCAAGTTGCTCGACACCGTGGAGGACAGTGCCTTTGTGCTGGCTGATAACCTGCTGAAGACAGACATCGTCCGGGAGAACACTGACAACATCCGTAAGAGACAGATCCCATAAATATCAAGAGCATCAAGAGGAAGAGTAAAGGCTGTGAAACCTGGCTTTGGCCCTGGCCCCTAGATTAATTGGAGCGCAATTTGTTAGCTGTGTCTTGTCCCTTTCTGCGGGACTTCAAAGTCTTTCTGAAAGAGCCTAAAGGAATAAGGCAGCTCTCTACCCTTGAAATCCCATGGAAAATGAGCACCTGACCTGCCTTTATTACTCTTGGCTTTGAGGGTATAATCTGTGCTAGAGCAACGAGAGCATTGCTTCACAGGGAGATTGTTCATCGTAATGCAATTGTGTTTCATTTCATACAAATTTGTGTCTTTATTCAGCTGATTGTTGATTTTAATTAAAAAACAAGCATGATGGAAAGCACCAGCACTCCCACTGTGCATATGTAAAATGAGAACAACTCTTCTTTCTATTTCTATGAATACAGATCCTGAGCACTGATAACATTTACACAAAGTAGCAATCGCCAGTGGCAAAGAACTAGTATTTTCAGATTTTCATTTTAACCATTGTCCTTAATATCCTGAGGTTCTTGTTTACAAGAACTGGTTGTCTTTTGTCTTCCACAGAGAGTAGAATTTATTTGCCTTTTTTTTTTAATTAAATTTAAAACTTCTTCAGGGCAAAGGTTTAAAAAGAAATAGGAGCCCAAACACATTCTAGCACGAAGCATTGTAAGTTGATTCCTCTGCTCTCAGATGGTCTGGAACACCATTTCATAGCTTTGAAATACCGTGTTGAAGATTATTTCAGTATAGATTTTTCTTAGTGTCGGTCTCTCTTGCAAACAGAGCTGGAAGTTGCGAGACTAAGCACAGATGGGAATCTGGAAGATCTGAAGTTTCCCCAGAACATGGGCCATGGGAGCGCCATTCAGCTGTCAGCAAATACCTTGAAGCAAAATGGTCGAAATGGTAGGTCTAGCACCTCAGGCCACGCCAGCCTTATGAGTCAGTCATGCCTTAGGCACTCTTTTGTGTTTAACCATTGCAAGCATAGTATTAATCTCTCTGTTAATATTTAAATTAATGATAGCGTCGGTTGCTCATGCCCTTGACTGCAAGCTCATTTAGCTGACTGGGAATGCATTATATTGCTAAGTGATTCACAGCCTTCAAAAGTATTCTGTGATGGTAAAAATGCATCAGATCTTTAGATTATGTGGCTGCTGGGGCACAGCGCTGAGTCCAGAAAAGTGCTTTTAACTGCTGTTGTCTGCAGGAGGAGGCTTCAGATGGGATAAGTGGCTTGTTTGCGTAAACTGCTTCACAGCAGGGCACTATCTGAAAAAGTAGAGGGAAGAAACAATAGTAGCAAATATTAATAATGAGCCGACATGGCAGAAAAAATTGATTAACTGTTATGAGTCTAAATCTTTAGTGCCTTTCTTTTTCTGTATGTTATGAACCTCCTGATACAGCATAAAGTAGAGATGATGTTATACGTGAATGGTCTTCATCCTGCCAAACCATTTATTTTCAGATCGGGAGTTTGAGCAGACACCTTTGTTGATCTCTACAGCCCCACTGCAGATCAACTTCAAACTCATAAGCTTCTACTGATTTGGCTAATATGCTTCTATTTCTGAGTTCCTTTAAAATTTAATCTATGTGCAGGGGACCACAATCTAGTACAGGCTTCGATCACTGCTTGGGTTGGAAGGGACTTTTAAGATCACCTAGTTCCAACCCCTCTGCCATGGGCAGAGATGTTACTCACTAGATCAGGTTACTCAAAGCCCCGTCCAACCTGGTCTTGAACACTTCCATGGATGGGACATCCACAACTTCTCTGGGGAACCTGTTCCAGTGCCTTGCGCTTCTCTGAGCAAAGAATAAAGAAAGTGGAATGATAGGGCAGTATTACAGCTGGACCAGATGTGTTAAAACTTCCAAAAATTTCAGGCAACTATTGAAAGTAAAGTTTGGTCTGGTGGTTCAGAAATAAAGTTTTGCCATTGGCTCCCTTGATGGCATTTGGCACCTTTGGATATAGGATTTGCAGAGACGTATTTCTTTTAGAGACAGTCTAAACTCAAGATGTGTAGCAAAACTCCATCAGGACAGGAGTTTCACTCTGCTGTCAAGCTTTGGAGATCTGTAGGGAAAGAGAAACTCTGTAGGGAAAGAGAAAGTGAAGGGGAAGTCTGTGTTTCTAAGCATAGTATCACTGGAGTTCTGATCAAATCAGAAGAACCCCATCAATTTGCACCAGCTTGGCACATGCCTGGAGGTAACCAAAGAGCTAGAAATAAATTATAATAGAAGGATTTAGGCTGGCAGGGACCTTTGGAGTCATCAGTGCTTCACCTTCCTTAGAAGCTGTGGTGATTCCTATAGAATCAAAAACATACCTCTCTCTACAACTAATACAAATAGAGGCAAACAAATCACATTCCATTCTTATTTATAGCCTGTGAAATAATGTGCAAAACAGAAGGCAAACTGGATGGTTTCAGTTAAAAACAGTTGGCTGGTAGCCCAGGTTTCCTGCAGGCTTCCTAAGGGTGTTTTTCTGGTTATCTGATTGGCAAATTAGGAAAATAAATATATTTTTAAATGAAATTTCTTGATTTTTATTTTATCCATCATGTGAGATTGGAACTGTGTTGGAAAGGTTTTGATTTCTTCTCTCAGATTTGTTCCCACACTTTTCTGAAAAAGTCTTAATTTATTAACAGACTAAATTTTGGTTTTATACCGCATCTGTGTGACAGGCCAGCACGAAACATGTTTCCCAAGCATAGCCTGAAGAATAAAGTGATGTTAGGTGAGAAATTTGACCACCTGGCCTCCTTTTTCCTGGAGCCAGTTACACCTACTGGTGTCAAAAATAAGCCCACCTTCTCTGTCTTGTCTTCCGCTGATTTGTTTGCTTATAAAAGTTTGTTTTGGAAGAAGGAGTTCTGCCTTTCTTATCTGTGGAATGCTTGTTGCACCTCTTGGTGATCACTGGGATTGACAGGAGGTGGGTTTTCATAAGCCACATCTTGGTCTGTTCACATTTTCTCAGAGAAGTTTTGAAATTGGTTCAGAGAAGAGATTTGTCATCTAGAAAAACATCACCCCAGTGAGTTGATTTGGATATCTAACCTCTTACTGCTCTTCTAGGTGAAATCAGGGTGGCTTTTGTACTGTACAACAACCTGGGCACCTATCTCTCCACGGAGAATGCCAGCATGAAGTTGGGAACAGAAGCAATGTCGACTAATCACTCCGTCATTGTCAACTCCCCTGTCATCACTGCAGCAATAAACAAAGAGTTCAGCAATAAGGTTTACCTGGCTGATCCTGTGGTGTTTACTGTCAAGCACATCAAGGTGTGTGAGTTCGAAAAGCACTTCTCTTTTTTTCAGTTTCTGAAATAAAGGGATGGAAAAGTTGGCTGCTGTGAGACCCCCAGCAGTGCTTGATTAGATTTTGAATTATACTTTTGTTCCTTTGCACTTTGTGTTATTTATGGAGGTGGTCTCTTTTACATTGCATTAATAGAAGTAAAGAAAATATCTCCTTTGAGCTGATGCCCATTGCTCAGTTGCTGACATGCGTCATTCTGTAATTAAAAACTACCAATATATTAGAATAGACCATAATATTATTTTATCATGGTGGCAGGGGATGTTAGAGGAAGGTGGAATTACAGTGAAAGAGGACAGCTAGTTCTCCTGTTAGCCAAGCACAGTCATTGCAAAAGTTGATTGCTTAAAGCAATTAATTTCTCTCCTCTGCAATGCAAATGAAGCAATCTGGTTTGGAAGAGCTGGATTTAGTCAATGCCTGAAATTAATCAAGAACAAAGAACTAAGTTTGCATTAGGAAAGAGAGCAGCAACAATCTAACTTTCTCTAGTATTGGCAAGTAATATGTGACGTATAAACCACTGCTGATTGTTTATCTAAAATTAGAGTGTGAGAGTTACAAAGTGCCTCAGTAGTGCATTTAGAAATCTCTGAGAGCCTATCATTTTTATTACATTTATTAATTTCTTCCCTGCAGCAGTCAGAAGAAAATTTCAACCCGAATTGTTCGTTCTGGAGCTATACAAAACGTACAATGACAGGGTACTGGTCCACCCAGGGCTGTCGCCTCCTGACAACTAACAAGACACACACCACATGCTCCTGCAATCACCTAACCAACTTTGCAGTCCTGATGGCACATGTGGAAGTTAAGGTAGGCATTGCACATTCACAGACTGCCAGTGCACTGGGTGGGCAGGAGAAGTGGTCAATATGTAATACAGTTTTCCTACTGCAAATGGAGCTGAGCAGGGAAGTTGCTGTGTGACAGGAACTCTAAAAGCAGAAACCATCTGGTGTAAATCTTCCTTCTGCTGCATGATGAAACAGGAGATAGTCACACCAATGCAAATCCTGTCTTAAGCTCCTAGCTTGGGCAGTTCTGAGCTGAGGATAATGAGTGAGCAGGCTTGCTGTTGCCATATCATTTGGTAACTGGTGCAGAACATCTCCTGGCTGGGTTCTTGCTCGTGGGTTCCTCAGTGTAGGTGTACTGAGCACCCTGGCTGCAGTCTGCCTCGTGGGTGCAAGTTGTGTGTCCTGCTTGCAGCAGCTGCAGATACACTGCCACACATGTTTGTGTGAGGTACATGTGGGGACTCAAAAGTGTTTTCCCACTTCCAGTTAGGGGGAAAATGTTACCTTCTTTGCATCTCATTGCGTGACAGGGAGCTACACATAAAAGAGATAGATCCTGTATAGACTGTACATCTACCTGAGGCCAGTACATGATCAGCTAGTTCCCTCACCTGCATTTAGGTCTGTAGTATAATTCTGGCTTTCCATATGACTACCACTGGAGCTAAATAGTTACTCCTGAAAGTAGATGTTCTTTGTTGTTGCAATGGTTTGAAGAGTAAAGTTCACATTTGGGATTTTATTCAAGAACAGGAGAATGGTTGAGATGGTCCTCCATTTCCTAAGCTGCCTTGGCTGTCTTTGACTGAGAACTGTCTCAGCTGCTACAGAAAGGAGAAGGCCCTGAAGCCCAAAAGATTTTGGCCTAGTCATTTTCTGTGTTGCAGTATCTTTATTTCATGTGCCTGGCACTGCAGCAGAATCTACAGCTCTGAGCTAGATATGGTCCTGGCATCTTCCATGCAGGCAGAATTTTTAAGAACCACTTCCATGACCATATAACGACAAAAGCTATTATGGTTTTAAAAGACCTTTTCTCAAATAGCCTTCCAGTGTCACTGCTTTGTATATTTTTGTTCTACTTCATAATCTGAAGAGGAATATGAAGAGCTACAATAAAATATATATTAAACAACCATCATGCATGACCAAAGCTCTTAAAAAAAAAGAAATGAGAGCATGGGAGCACATTTGCCACAACAGCTGGAACCAGCTGAGGGGGGCAGGGATGGATCTATTGCTGCTGCAGGTTCACATATCCTTTTTATTCTGCAGGAGTCAGTTCTAGTCCAGGAAACATGCCATAAAATGACTGAGGCATTGTCCTGGGAGATGTCTAAAGAAATGGCCTATTCAGAGCACATATTTACAGGTTAATGGCATTCTGCAGTCCAGGTGTGGTTTTACCAGTTTCCTGCAACTGCTTGAATTTTCATAAGAAATGTGTGCTTGGCTTGTTATCACCTGTCTGGAATTAACAGATATACCTGAGTCACTGAAGTCAGAGATTGCACCTGGGAAATGCAGATAACTTTCCACTCCATTGGTGTGAATGAGGGTGATCCCTACTGCATGTGCAGGATACAGGCTGGTGCTGAACAAGCCTCTTCTCAAACTGCAAGTAGGTCAGCCTTGTCTGCACATTTCATCCAAACCTCATTAGACAAGTAGTGCTCGTGTTATCTCATCTTGCAGGAAAAGGATGTTAGACCCTTCCTCGCCAACAGGTTGGAAAGAGATACAGCTGGAAGCTTCCTGAGTGCCAAGCCAGTGTGCTATTAGCTGGTGGCTGTTTCTGGGTTAAAAAGTACCCTCAAGACTTTCAGGTCATGCTTTATCATTTGTCTGCAGCCAAAGTATCACTGCTGTAAGAGCCAAATTGGCTGCACTTTATTGACTCTGATGTAACCAGACAGCTTCCTGGCATGCCCACTTTAATGATCATCCTGGTCTGAGGGCAAAGGCAGGTATGCCACCCGCAAACCTTTGCAGCTCGTCCCTCCAGCTGCTTCTCACCTGACTCTTCCTAGTGACACCGTCTCACTCTGGTCTGCTGGTGGAGCTGACCATGTGGCTCTTGGCAAATCTGGGATGTGGCTTCTATGACATTCCTTATGTTATTGCACTGAGTTGATTTTAAAGTCTTGGCAGCAGAATACCTGCTGTTTTGGAAAAGTGGAGGCTTAAAACTAAAGGGGGGTTGCTATCGTTCATTGACTCTCACTCACTGCTCATAGACATGCTTTTGAACCATTTTGTTATTTTGTGTCTTGTACAAAGAGGCATTCCATGCCTCAAAGACCTGTTAGTCTTCTTGGAAGTGGAATGATCTTTGGGGCAATGATGTTGTGTGCAGGACCTCTTAGAGCAGCGTTCTGGCCAGTGACTAGGATCCCTAAAGAGGATCTTCATATGCACAATAGTTAATAATATTCTAGGAGTTTTGCAGCAGAAACAATTTTCTCCAGTAATTGAGATTTGTAGTTTACTGTCCTTAGTTGTTTGAATTTTTGGATCCATAGGGAGCATCCTTTGGTGTAATTAGTGAATATAGCACCCTACCTAATGAGACTGAACATTGGGCCTCATGGGGAGCAGACATCCAAGTCCTGCTCCTTAATCAAAAAAACAGCGCCCATTTGACAAGTGTCTCATCTGGTCATGAATGATGTCCCTCCCTGGTAACATGGCAAAAGAGTGTGTTCTCCAGAGGAGACTTCAGTGGCTGCTCTGCAAGTTACAGGCTACAATTTAATTATTAGCAGAGAGTATGTGGCAAGGTGGAGCTGGAAGGCAGCGCTGCTGAGGGAGTTGATTGATGGCTTTCTGGCTCTCTAGCATGAAAAAGCAATATGTCTTTGTCCGAAGGGGCAGAAAATGACACTGGCTGACCATGGGAACAGGGATTTATTGGTGTGCTTCAGGAGTAGAAGTTGCTGGGATCAATTCTGGTCTTAATACGACAGTACCTGATTAAGAGGAGAATTTAATTTGAAGATGCTTTCTGCCTGTTAAAATTGGTTGGGCCCAGAGTTTCTTATTCATCGACATACTTCAGTGGGGTAAAACAACAGTGCCCAAGACCAAAAGCTGGCTGTGCTCACAAGCAGGATGCATAGCTGCTGGGAACAGTGATGGACCCTCATCTGCAGGTACCCCTCTAGCCCCTGTCAGAGCCCCAGCTAGCATGAGGAGAGAACAGTAGGACTGTATAACAAGTTGTGAGCTGGATCTCACTGATGAATCCTCCTGGTAAGGGATGACCTTACAGACATGCAGTGCTCATTGCCCTGCCAGGCAGTTTACCAGGAAAAATAAGAACCTCCTTTTGCAGAGAGGTTTTAAGACTTGGAAACAAATCACCGTTTTTACCATCTAGGAGGCTCATTTGACCTGTGTTATGAGAAAATTATTACAGTCTCATAGATGTTTTGTTAAATTATGATATAAGTTTAACATAGATGAGATCTATGTTAATATCTATCTATTGCTTGAATTGGTAGGATATCATCACCCTTAAATTCTATAAAAATGTGGTGGCTCTCATGCTGTGGAACAAAGCCCATAGTTAAATAAGCTGTTCTACCTATGTAATTGCTGCAGAATTAGTCAAAATTTACAAGCTGTTTTTCATATAAGCTTGTGCTTTTCATCATATTAATTATAGCAGATGCATCTTAAATGTATCATGGGAAAATTATGCAGCCAGAAAACAAGTTTAGAGCTGGTGGGAAAATGCAATTAAAAAACCCACCCAACACAGAGTAAGCAAAGGTACCCCAGGGTAGATAAACATTGCTTATCAGTATGTAGTGAATGCCAGATCTTACTCTTCTTTTTTTTAAAAAAAAGAGAAAGAGGGAAAAAAAGAAAGCTGTTTTAACTGTTGCAATTAATAGGAAGCTTTCAGGTGTTATTCTATACCAAAAACACGTTACACTGTGCTAATTATTTGGGGAATGGAAGCATAAGGCAAGTGAAGGAGAGAAAGGAATAAAAATATGTGACATCTGAATGGAATGAAGTGGTCCCTTGCCTAAAGCAGTACAGCCATTTCAGATATAAAGAGCAAGCTGAAGTTATTGCAAGCTGGTTTATCCATATATTAGCACTTGTGGGATTGAGCAGAAATGAATGAAAGCAGAAGTGGGTGCAGGATTACAAAAACACTCTAACTGCAGAATTAAATTACTCAAACCTCCATGTAATGAATTTTGCAAGACAAATAATTTAGTACCATCAAAGGTGCTAATTCTAAAAAAACCCAAACTTATAGATTACACATTGCAAAAAGTAACTTGTTCTAATATGTTATTAAATAAGAACTATTTTAATTAAGTGGAAAAATCATTAAATGTGTTTGTCTTCAGTGAGATTGTAAAATTCAAAATACAGCAGTATTTTAATCTATGTTGAAATCTGTCACCTCAGTGAACCCCAAGAACAAGGAGCTATAAACAGCATGTTGGTTATACCTTAATTAAAATATACCTATTAGGTCAAGTAATCTATGCCTATGGGGTCTATTTAGAGTTGTAACTGGTAGCAGCGTCCTTCAGCTTTTTGTCTAGGTTAGACAGCAGCAAGTCACTCCAGGGAGTTCATTGAGTTCCTTACCCTCAGTTTGACACACATTGTTTTGTGTTGAGCTCTAATTGTGTCTTACTGTTTCTAGTTCTCATGTGTTTTGTTGGACATCTCACTGGTCCTTGTCTGTGCATTCCCCAAAGCACTGACCTAGATCTTCTCAGGTTTCCACTTTTGGGTGTCCAACCTGGAAACAACTAGAGAAACAACTGTTCCTGGCTTCAGATAAAAATACCCTTCAGCCCCTGAATTTGCAGTTTCTTAGCTTGGTGCTTACAGGTGTCAGAAATTAGAGCACACTCCAGTTTATTAGCCATGGCTTCCTTTCCCTTCAGTCCAACAGGTACATATTTGCTTAGTATTGCTCTTCTTGACTCTCCAAGCTGCCAGGGCTAGTTTCATAGTAAGGAGCTGTGCCACAGAGCATGG